TGTCGAACTTTCGAAGAACGTTTCCTCCTTTGAAGGTACTTGATCTTGTTGTGCTCGATCAGAATGAGCTGTTAAATGTTTTCTCTATTCGTATCGTTCACGTGAGTTCTTTTAGTCATGACATGGTTCGTGCTTCATAATTTAATCCTATTTTGTAGACTTTTTTCCATTAATTTAACAATGTTAAGTTTCTCTACATTTTTAGTATTAGTTATGTTCTTTTTATAATATAATTTTGTAATTCTTTTATATATTACAGTATATATATATATATATATATTATTAATTCTCCTTTTAAGCAAATCACGTGAGCAAACACTTTTAAAATTCATACGAAACTTACGATACACGAAACGTCAGCACGATTGAGCGATTCCAATTTTAAAATCCATATCTGGGAATATTCCGTCGTCAAGTTTACGAACTTTAATATTATTCAGAAATGGAAGACAAACGCTCGTGACTTAATATTCATCTTACTCGCGCACGGCGTGGCGATGCTATTTATTCCACTTTGGCAACGCCGACCAATCGCGTGCATCTAAGAGACCGGCTGACTACAAGCTGTGATTTATCTCGATGGTCGAATATGATCCTACCGACAATAAAGATCTGTTGAATATACGTGCCGACTCCTCCCCGAGAATTGCACGGCCATAAACCTTCATCGAGAGTTAAATGAGTTTTAACGGTGGGGGAAAATTGCGGTTTGGATATTACTATCTTATCTTTGACGACGGCTGTAGTCGCGAACATCCATTAAAATGGCGAATTGCAGATGTTGATTTATTTAATGTACGGAGACGGATCGCGTGAGAGATTGCTATGATAACGCATAGTAGAACGTGAGCGCGTAGCTAAAAAAAATAACGAGAATTCAAAAAATATTGTTTTCTTTTCTTTCAAATATTACCTCATTCACAAGTTCACATTTTATATGCACATCACGAAGTAACGAACGATTCTGCGAGATTGTTTGTCGGATCGAGCTTAAATTGTCAACGAAAACGCATTAAACATTGAAAATTCGACGAGAAATATCTTGGATGAAATTCTGTATTTCGTCTCTGCGGATTAAGCGCCTTCTCTGTTTCTGCGAAGAGATTAAAATTCGATTGGCCGACGAAAAGTAGAATTCAGAGCTTACCCAATCCCGAGAAAAATGGACGTCAAAAGACATTTAATTTTTCATTGCATCCCTATCGATATTACACGGATTCCTTTATGCATATAGTACATTCATGCGCATCATAAAAATGTATGGATTCGGTCACGGGCGACCGAGGGACATCAGGTGCTGCGAACATCCGCGAAAAACACGAACCTGAAAAATGTATCTCCAGAGTTACGGAGTGACATAGTTGCTATTTCCCCTTATTTTGACCTGGCATTTTACCGCGCCATGTGGGACGAGCCGGAAGAAAACTTATATAATACTGGAATTCGCGTGATTAGAACAAATGTGAGAAAAGTAAAAAAATACTGGAGACACAGAGAAACATTGTAGTAATGTGCTAATATTATTTTTATTACAGCCTTTTAAAGATAAAATAAGAGAGTCATAGAAATGTGATTTTGCAATCCATATTAAAATATGTCTCTTTGTGTCGTTTTTTATCATCAAATTTAATTTCACGTTGCATTATAAAAGCGAATCTACAGGATACAGAACTAATATTAGCTTCATTAATTCTTGAGATAATTGTATATTTTAATCTCAATTTTTTTTTTCACTTTCTCGTTTAGTTCGTTATTTTATCACAAGCGCGACACAACAATACCACGCGCGATTGTAATTCACGTTAGGCTTCTGTCCGCTACCTTCAGTGGCAACCACTTTTGAAATTGACTCTTTTTTTCTATTGTCGCCGCTAGTCGACCTTACCCCGCTGGGGCCGTTCCTTTTTTCTACCCCTCGACTTTCTCTTTTGCCGTTAAAAACCCGGCTTGCTTTTACTTACTAGTTCAACAGAAAATTCATCCATTCGTCCCCGAAGGGTTGGCGCGTCCCTCCCGTCAGAGGGACGATCGCGCTAAGTGGCAGATTCAGGCTGATCGAAAGCGGCCGAGATGAAGAAAAAAAAAAGTTGCCAGCGGAGAGGAAAGTCGGAGAGTGGACTTAAGCTCGTCGAGAGGGTTACAGCCAGGGATGAAAAGAAAAGTACGCGTCGATACAAAGTGCTGTTTACGCCATTCTCCTACCCTTCCGCTTTCAACCACTGTCCTTTTACCTAATTCCGCGCCTCTTTTGCTGCGCTGCTTCTTCGTCGTTTCTTTTTTTTCCACCATTACATTTTTCCTTGTATCTTCGAATCGTTTTTTTCCTGACGTGTTAATTAAGCGTTACGAGATGTCTTATTATTCGTGCGATGTGAGATTTTTGCGATCGGACAGGTGCTCTTTCGCACATTTTATTCTTATATATATTATATATTATATATTATTATATAATTATATATTATATCTTATATATATTCTTATATAATCTTTTATTTTTATTTTTAAGCAGATATTTATAAGATGGTCCGATAAAGATGTACATAATATTATTTCATCAAATATCTTTGGTAAAGATTAATACAATTCTTGTCTCTCTCTCTCTTTTCTTCAGCTTGTGGTTTTTTTGTTTAAATATTAGAAGATATCTTCTGCTTCATTCTCGCCGGATCCAATAGCCTAAAAAATATTGGCGGCGATTTTTTTTCTTCAGACCATAAGATACGACTGTATCTCTCCCTCAATTTGCATTTTTTTCTATCTGTTTCGTACACGGGGTGCTTGATCTGGATGACAAAGAGAAGGCTGATGGGTGGATCGTCGCGTGGATAAAGGTGTCTTCACGACGACCCCCTTCTCGTCGCGGCGGAAGGACGGTAGTAAATCTTTCATCGACAAGCGAAATCCATTGATCCCACGATCGAATGTGAAATCCACCTTTTGTATCCTGCACGCTCCGCCTGCTACGGCGAGGTAAATAATGTAGAGGGACTCGTCGGGAACGTTAGACAACAAATAAATCAGCCTCATCGCGGTAATCTTCGTGATGGCCGAGGCGCTCTTTGTCGATGTCCTCCGAGGATCGTTCCGACCGGAGACAGAAGCATTGCGGGTTCTCCTTTATTTTTCTCGCCGGTGCTATCGATCACGCTGAAGTGGTCGCCCGCATTACACGTCTATTCTTGATGAAAGTGGATCGACACGCGGATCAGGACTGATCTATTTTGAGGACGATTATAAAATCGCCAAAAGGACCGAACGAGGAATGCATTAAACGATTATAAACTAAATGATTTAGATTTTAATTAAATTAAAAAATAAGAGGAGAGAAAGAATAGAAATTTTTTCAAGTCAATCGAAATTTATACGTAAAATTGTTAATTTTATCATTATTATATTCATATGTCACGATACAGTGTTTCTCTGCTAAACCAGTTTATCGCAGTCTATTTTTACGCGTAATTGAGATGGAATAGTAGCATCGTAGAAATTTACTATAGCTCTTTTCGCATTTAGTGTTGAGATTCTTCTCGTTTAGCGAATTTTTCACTCCCTTTCCGTTCAGATCGCGTATCTCGAAGCGTCCCCCAACATGTCTCTTTTGCTAACGTCCATAAAGAGGGTCGCTATCAAAAAGTGCGCGACTGCCGCGGAAATCCCTCCTTCTCGCATGAATAAAACAACCGGATATATATATATATATATTTTGTGTTCGGATTCTGCGAAGCTTAGAATGCTCGAGAAACGCCTTCCGGTGCGTTCCGACCGACTCGAGAGAGCCGAGAGGGAGCAAGTTGAGATTCACTGCAAAAATCTACGAATCTCAGACCGTACGGGCTGCTGCAGACGACGGTGCATTCCTTATCGCAAGAGGGAAAAACGTCGTGTATTCCCAAGATCCATTACCATGTAAATATTGCATCGAGTTGCCTCTCTCTCGGAATTTTATGGCCAGTCACATGCATTATGCCAATCGTATTTTAATTCGTGACGTTGCATTTTTACAATAATATCTCTACGACGATGTTATATGTTATGTTATGATATATAAAATTGTATTCTATATTCATCTGAACCCGCAAGATCTTTCTTTAATACAAAAATATCAAAATATTAATTAAATCTTTCCCGTTATAAAAATACAGCGTTCCCTTTCTATCTGATTTGTCACTTTATATCAATTTTAACAGAATTAGTCGCATATATTTTACATTTTTAGAGAGAGAAAGAGAGGCGCGCGGAAGATCTCTTTTTATTCCCGTCATCTTATTTATACTGTCTTTGATCCTACGTTTCTAGAGGATCATATGCAACTGTATGCAAACTGCGAATACTCCCTGTATTTGCATGCATGCGCTTGAGTAGATTACTTGCGCGCGGATTACACGTTAGTTTACGTGAAATAATATGTGCGCAACACAAGAAGGATCGCATGTCTAACTAAATTCGAACATTTGGGAATGCAGCTGAAGTCGCTGAAACTGTACTTAATCCGATAAGTATAACGGAAAGAGACGTTAGATCGGATTACGTGCGTTGTCCTGGCAGAAAATAAATGAAGCTATTCGCGGAATACACCGTCGGGCGTTTTGTTAGATTAATAAAATCAATCTCGATAATAATAATGTGAACATAATAACAATGTGAACATCGTCTGCCATCTTCAGATATTTATATGTTATATTGTAGAATCTAATTCCGCTGAAATAGATTATCTCGGATTAGAGCCTTAAAATTAGAATTTTATTAGTCACAAAATAATTTAGAATAGTTAATATTAGCTGGTTGGTTATTCTTTGCAAAAATTATAAGGTCACTCTATAAAATCAGTCCTAATACTATTGATCGGAAGTTGAACTAAATTTATATTGATACTTTGATTCACCATTTTAATTTAATCAGGAAATCGCATCTCACAACTTGACATATTCCGATATTGATATCCTTGTCACACAATTGTTATATGTCACTGCGTGCTAATAATGTTTGTTTTCATGTTTCAGGTAAGGATCTAAATTTCGCCAGTAATAACGCGGGTGAGTGTTACATCTAACAATCTATATCTATACTATTATTATCGCATGCGCCACTTTTCATTTACTGATTGCCCATCACGTTGAAAGAGAATGCGATAGAGTTTCCACGCAACCCCGTACATCATAATTGATATTGATGTTGTATTCTGTTTTTTTTTTTTTTTTTTTCAAATTATACGAGGTTGTTACGATTTACGATGCATGGTTAAAAAGCTTATTCACAAAAAAATACAATATTTATAATTGGCTGTTACGCAAATTCGACCAAAGTTATATATACTATATCGCGAATTTCTATTAATAATTTATAATAAATAATAATTCAAGAAAGTGTACTGTGTGTCAGTTTAATTGATTATTTCAAAATAATTTATATGTATATAGATTATGTACATAATCTATATACATATGTTTATCTGCAGCATTTATCTGTACTTTCTGTTTCAATTAATATAACAATATTTTAAATAATAGCAATATATATTCCTAACAATACTGTTATATAGAATACGAAATTATTGATCTGCCAGTGAGAAATTATATCATCTGTATTCTAACTTTTTATTAAAATTTGACGCAATTTCCTACACTGCATGGAAAGCAACTCATCTTCTTTTGACTGCGTCTTGAAGGCAAGGAGAGCCAATTCCATGTAATTCGCTAAAGATTCCCGCGCGCGCACCACAGGTCGTATCCGGTAGAGGAAAAAGTATTCTTTCGCGAAGCGATCCCCACTGTCGGTGATGTTAAAGGAGCTGGTCTTTTATGGGGGCCCATCGCAGAAGAAGAAGAGAGGTCGAGAAAGCGTACCGCCGAGATAAGGACGGCAGTAGACGGTTGTAGGCAATCTGGCTGATTAGGCTCGGGGATAGTAATCCCGTAGATCCTCGACGATGCCGCGGAATCGTTTATCCGACTGCCTTCGTCGTGTATCAGGCGAAGAAAAGGGGACCAAGACTGTCGAGCGGGAAAAGCGACGTCCGTTACATCGGTGCCATACCGGGGAGATTAGGATTCTTCGGGAAAAGCTCGGTAGAATTAAGGAAAGGAGGTTTCCTTTCATACACCAGATCGACGATATGTGTACTCGCATGTTACTCTCGTCGTATTTTCTCCGCTTCTTCTTCTCGTTTCCCCTCCATCCCCCCATCCCCATTTCCCCTGTTTTGTCCCGTTTCTCATCCTCTTCTTCGTTTCCATATTGCGTGTCCCTTCGATGGAATCGTAAACTTTTTGCGACAGCTCCTATGAAATATGCTACGAAATCACGACACGATTTGTCCGATTGCTACAAGACTTATAGCGAACCCTCGTCATCTTCCGTTCACTGGCCGTTCGCTTCCATGCAAACATATTTAAAAAGAAAAAAAGAGAACGCAAAACACATACATATTTTTATTACTTTTCATATTGATTCACGGTAATCTTTTTGATTCATATCTGTAAGAGAAATCGAAATTCGTGGAAGCTTTCGCCACTGACAATGAGATGAATTTACATAGCGAAGCGAAGAAATGAGATGAGAGGAGATGCGCGCGAGTCGGCAAATGAATAAATAAATATACAAAACCCGTTGCATATACCCCCCCTCCCACACACACACACACGTATACCCGAAAATATATTGACCACAACGACTGGCGTTCGTGTCGCAAGAAAAGTGGAAAACGCATCGTATCAATTTTGCTGCCATCCGCGCTTTTTACTCTCAAGCAATGCATTTAAATTATTTATAATGGGACTGCTTTTTCAATCTACGTCAGCAAACGGCCGTGAATGGAAGAGCAATGGCAGATATATATATATATATATATATATAAGAATAAGACAATTGTCCGAAAAATAAAGGCACTGCAAGATATATTTAATTAACAATTTTTCAACTTTTATTCAAGGAGATGCTCTGTGACGTTATAAACAATTTATATATTGTTTTATTATAATTTTCATAACTTAATGCATAATATTTTATTTCAAAGATATTTTACCTCAAAATAGAATACAATATATAGAGTTATAAAACATAATTATAATTACAAAATTAATATGATAATAGAATCATATTGAAAATACATAAAATATACACACACATTTATACATATTTTGTTACATTATGTATATTGAATACATAAAATATTTTATTATATTATATTACACAAAAATGTCCGAAAGAAATGCGTACAATGTAAAATTTATTAGAAATTTTTAGATTAAACATAGCTAATAATCTACCGCGACCAAAAAAATTATTAATGAATTTATCGATTTTGTCTCTCTCAATTAAAAAAAGAAAGACTTTTTAAAGAAAATATCTGACGGGCGCGGGTGCGCAGAGATAAATGAAGTTTCGATGTTACCCAACGATTACATCAGAAGATAAATCGCGGTTTAAATTTTGTGAACGATAAATAAATAAATAAACTAACGGTAGTTGTAATATTTAATTGCGATACACGTAATTTCTATAATAATCGGAACACAATGTGCGCGCGCGATATAATTGTTATCATTATATGCGACAATAAAAATGTTCCGACATTCGGAGTGCATTTCATAATCTGTAATTATAATGTGCGTGAGGAATTGAACGCGATCTAATGCCCGATTTATTTTCAAATGCGCGATTTTTTACAAATTCCGCGATCAAAAATAAGATGTATACGTTTTGTGAACAATTTCGAAACAAGATAAAATGAATTTTATAATTCTTAAAATAATCGCATTATCGCCGCGTTTAATGGAGGATAACTGACCTAACGATTAGACCAGATCAAGATTCCTCTGCCGAGTGACACACTGGTTAATATCTGACAGAGAAAAGAACGATCTTAAAAGTGGAAAGCGACTTCAACTTGTCTTATTTCTATGTCGGGTCCTACGGAATCGATCCACAAAGGAAAGTTAAGTGATTCATTAAACATCAAAAGTCCCGCGACAGGAGGGAACGAATCTCCGATCTTCCTGATTGCTCCGATAGCAGTGATTTCGGCAGCGAATTAACGACTGTTACCGTCGTCATCATTTTCAATATATGAAATAAAAATTCGCATGAAAAAAGCATGTTCTTCCACTATTAAGAAATATCTCCTTTTATTAAAAAAACGACTGGATATAACGATTTTTATGTACACATGGTTACAATCGAGTATATTTAAGAAAAATGAAATACATGCGCTTTTATTATTGCTTGGTTAAATATGTAAGTACAAATAAGTTTAGGGTACCAAGTGTGCTCGAGACAAATCAAACCCGATAACAACAAGATATAAAAAAAATTTAATTCAAATATTTAGCAAGACAAATAAAAAATTATCAATTAATTAATTTTTCTATAATATTTCAATAAAAATATCAATAAATTAATTTGTCGATATCTTACTGATATCGGAGTACCCATTCAATTCGTCTCGAATTTTTTAATTACTCACATATTTTACATTCATGCATTCGCGCGATATAATATTAAATATAATAGAAAAGAATTTTGTCAAATATATCACACAATTTGCGCATGTATTTTATTATATGTACATATACACTTTATAAACTAATCTTAATATCCTAAAATGGTGGGACGTCCAGTGTCTGCAAATGGTTTCTTAAAAGAGACTAAAAATTAAATTAATTCAAAATTAATTAATGAAATATATTCGTTTGTAACCACAATTTTTTATCAAACAAGTTTGCAAAAACTGATTGTAATTTAAATTTTTGTATTTGAAAAAAATGGAATTTATCCATTATATCCATATTCAATCTATTATTAAGTATTTTCATCATTAAGAGATAATACTGATATTAATACGAATAATAATGGAAAAACATTCTTAACAAAAAAAAGAAGAAAATATATCCTTTCTCAAAGTATACTATTTAATGAATTTTTTTCGTGATTCGATTTCAAACAGTGTATGGTGATTGTCGTTAAATCATTGCCAAAAGCATCACTTCCAGAAACCGCCAAGAAAATCTGAGTTTAATTCCAACTCTGCAACGGAAACTTTCAATTTTTAACGAGGCACCAAACTAAGCGTTGCGGATAGGTCCCACAAAAACCGACGAGAAATAACTCTCCACGATGAAGATCGTTTCGATTCCCAGCCAGTACAAACCGCGCATTCGCTAGCGTCCACCTGACATGAGGAACAGCGATAAAGCCTCTTCGTCAAGGTAGCGATCGCGTCCAAATACATGGAAAGAATGCAACGCAAATAATATTGCAATGTTTGCAATATTATTTATAAAATTGTTCAGTGAATATTTAAAGCGACGCGAAATTCACAAAATACGCCTAATCAAAAACGCCTAATCAAAATACGCCTAATCAAAAACGATAATCAAAATAAATTATTTTGTTTCGTAGATTTTTTAATTTCCGTGCGTTACCAATAATATTTAATTTTAAATTTTTCAATATTTCAAATATATTCGTGTTTTTGCAATATCAAAAGCGCGATCAATAGATTTCGCAAGTAAGAAACTAATATTTAATCGTTGGCTTAACATCGAGTCTTGATATTCTTGTTTAATAATTTTTATATTATATAGAAGAATTGTAGCGATATTTGCGATTACGAAATTTTTAAATAAAAGTTTCTTGGTTTTATTGATAATCTTTTGGTATAAAAAAGTAAGCTATTAAATTTTTGAGTAATTTTACAATAAAAACGTTGAAATCTAATACTTATCGAATATGTTAATTCAACGAATTTTGTATTATTGTACGTATTCTTTCAATTTCGCGTAACTTACAATAGATTTTTTTACAATAGATTACAAATAAATTATTACAATTTATATAGATACAATTACACAAAAATATAAGAATATTATAAAAAATATATAACGATATAATTACAATTTATATATACATTTTAATAATTCATGCTATCAGCATCCAATATTCTCAATATAAGGAATTGTAAAACTTTTATTATTTGATTATTAAGTTATATTTGATAAAGATCCAAATATAAATCGGAAATAAAAAATGCCAAAAA